TGGCATCAGTATTTGGTCTGGGTTTGTTGTGGGGTCAAGTTTTTCCTGAGGCTTTAAAGCACTAATATTGGACAGATAGCCAGGTTTGGGGGCCCTGACAGAAGGTGACCAGTGCTGACAACCTACACCTTCACTAACCCCAGCAGACTTTTTTCCTTTTTTTTTTTTTTTTAATTGCCCAGAAACCTCCAACTCCTGGGCTTAGGCAAGTTTCTTGCCTAGCCTCCCAGTAGCCAGGACTACAGGTTCCTGCCACAACGCCTGGCTGTTTTTTTGTTGTTGCAGTTTGTCCGGGGCCAGGTTTGAACCTGCCACCCTCAGTATATGGGGCTGGCGCCCTACCCATTGAGCCATAGGTGCTGCCCCCAGACTTTTTACTTTTCAAAATACTGTCCTATGCCCTGAATATAAGTTGTTTTTTTTTTTTCCTGAGGAAACTTAACTGAAGTGACAATGAGCAGAGATATTGGAAAGGAATCAAGTTTTCTTCCCCCTCTATTTGAACCTAGCAGTAAACCTCTGAGGTATCACTAATATAGCTTGATTTGCATTAAGTTCTTTAGGACTATCCTTCCAGGACTTCGTTCATTCAATTAGTATTATTGGATACTTATATGTATCAGAAACTGCTAGATGCTGGGGATGCCTAAATGAATGAGACTGACTCAGTCCCTTCCTGTGGGGTTTTTAAAAAGAGATAGATATAGGTAAATTAATATAAGTAAAATATTATTACAAATTATACTAAGTACTATAAAGTAAAAGAACAGCATCTTGGCTGCTCCTCTGGAGTATTTGTTACATGCCATTAGGGGAAAGTACATGAAGGAGTTTGGATCTGGATTAGATTAATGAAATATCTTGCAGGTTAGGAGGTGAAATATTTGTAGATTGAATAAATAATTAGGTTAAGGTAAAAAGAGGAGATTAAAAGTATAATATAGGCTCGGCGCCTGTGGCTCAACTGGCTAGGGCGCCAGCCACATACACCTAAGGTGGCGGGTTCGAATCCCCAGCCTGGACCCGCCAAACAACAATGACGGCTGCAACCAAAAAATGGCCGGGCGTTGTGGTGGGCGCCTGTGGTCCCAGCTACTTGGGAGGCGGAGGCAGGAGACTCGCTTGAGCCCAGGAGTTGGAGGTTGCTGTGAGCATGATGCCATGGCACTCTACCCAGGGGGACAGCTTGAGGCTCTGTCTCAAAAAAAAAAAAAAAAAGAAAAAAAAGTATAATGTAGAGAGGGAGTAAGTGATCCAGAGCACTAATGGAGGAATTAGCCTTGCAGAGGAAAAAAGATTCTTCTTTCTCTCAATTTGGGGAACAGAAGTGGGGAAGAAGGCAAGTAAAGTTGAGGAAGTTAGCACATGGCTGAGAATTCAGCTTTCTTGAGGCAAGGAAGGAAGCAGAGGATGGGATGGAACTGGGTGCTTGGCAGGGCTGGGAACTGGGTTAGGTACAAAAGCATGTGAGGCCTGAAAGAGGTAGCGCCACATACTCCTCCGTCTCCATGACAATGCTGTGTCTGAGGATTTGTACTAAGACATCAGGGCAGAAGGAGCCCCCACAGTTGAGATTGGACAAATCAGCATTCTTGGTTCTGTGGTCTTCTGAATCTGCTATATTATGTAGGATTTTAACTGCTGAGAAATGAACCTTTAGTAGCATTTATACCATTTAAGATGTCCTTGATCCAACATCAAGGTCATAAACTCTACTGGTTTTTGTTTCGTTTTGTTTCTGAGTCTCCCTCTATTGCTCAGGCTAGAAAGCAATGGTGTGATCACAGCTCATTCTAAACTTGAAAACCTGGGCTCTAGAGACATCTTGAGTAGCTGAGATAATAGGCATACCCCACCATGCCAAGCTTTGTTTTTATGTAGAGATGAGGTTTTGAACTCCTGGCCTCAATCGATCTTCCTATTCTAAACTGTAGAATAGGATTTTTCTCTATCCCTGGGATAACTTGATTTAATTTGGGTCAGTTAATGTTAACTAGTATATTTTGACCTTTTAAGTCCAAGTTTAATCACTCCAATGTGGGTTCTTATTTTTGCTTTTGTCTGTTGAGGTCACTTGAACTAAAATTGTTAGTACAGGTAATTTGCTTTTGGGTTTTTGGTGACTAATTTTCATAATAATTTTATTGGCCAGTATGGTAGAAGAATAAGAAAATGAGAGTATTGGTACAGGCTTGAGGGGGCCGAAGGATGCACTATTGGATCACAGCAGGAAAGCAAAGGATATGAAGTTATAAGTTGGGTGATAGTGGGAGAACAGTGAAGATAATTGACATGCCGTTCATGCAGATTTGAAAAGCAAGCATCATGGAAGCAAAGATAAGATATCAGATTTAGAAGGTTAGGGAGGTTGACAGAGAGGAAAGATCCAAAACTGTGGGCTTACAGGGTGATGTGTCCAGATAAAGTCTTCCCATTATTTGTACATAGCATTATGTAATACTGACCTCACAGTAATTACAATTGATCCAGAAGGATTTATCAGAAAGGGAAGGGTTGTTCATATACATGTTTGTGTGAATATAGTTGCCTGTGTTGCATAATTTGCTCATTATGTGACATCTTTGAATATAGGTGATAGAAAGACTCTGACAATGCCATGTTGGGTCCCCTCTGGCACATGATCTAGCTCCTCCTTGCCCTGGCCAACAGTGGCAAGGACCATCTCTAGGTCCTTGACCTCTTTGCTGTACTTTTTCTCTCCTGATTTTTTGTCATACAGATCTCTACTTGACTATGAAGTTCCTGGGGAGAAGGCCTTCCAAAGGAAAAGCACTGGCTTCTCACCTGCTGTTTCTTCTCTGGGTAGCCAGATGAGGACTTGTCTGAAGACAAAGGAATACCTGAGAAAGATCCACTTCTTTTATCTCAATGTGGCTCCCAACAGGCACTTTAGGTAAGAGACTATGTTCAGACCCTTTCTGCTCCTCTCCCTGCCTTTCCTCCTGTGCTATTTTCCTTCCCCCACCCCTCCCCGACTTCCTCACATGCCCATGTCTTTCCTGTCTTTTCTCCACATACTCCTTCTCTATCTCCCAGTTTTCCTCCCTCTTCCTTTCTCCTCAGCCTTCTCTCCACTCTCTAGCTCCTCTCTGCTCATTTTTCTTCCACAGCTTTGTGTCATAGTCATTCTTTTCTCATTTTTGGCTCCTCTTTATTCTATCCTAGGATGATAGAAACATTTGGTCATAGCCTTAAAAGAGAATTTTATGCAATCTCTTCCAGCTCCAATGCAAGAATCAGGTGGTTAAATCTTTGCACTGTCAGGGAAACTATCCTAAGGCATACTATTCCTTAGATTAGTCAAATTCATCTTTCTTTAAACTTCTACCCCCTGGTCCTAGTTTTATCTTTGGTGCTATACAAATAAGCCTTCTTCCACATGACTTAAGAGGCATTCATCCACTTTCTCCAATTAGATCTCTTCCCCATGCTCAAACTCCTGGGATCAAGCAATCCTGCCTCTGCCTCCCAAGTAGCTGGCACTGCAGTCTGGTTATACCATGCCCTACTAATTTTTTTTTTTTAATTTTGTAGAGACAGTGTCTCTCTCTATTGCTCAACCTGATCTTGTTTTCTTGGCTTTAAGAAATCCTCCCACCTTGGCCTCCCAAACTGTTGGGGTTATAGGTATGAGCCACCGCATCTGGCCTAAGTCTTACCTATTTTTAAAAGCCCTGTTCAAGTCCTATATGTTCCCAGAAATGATAGTAATGATTACTGTTAATCCAACTCTTCTATATTTTAGTCATTGTGGCAATAAACACATGACATGTATTACCTAATCCTCACCTACCAGGTAGGTGCCATTATTATTTACATATATGAAATAAGTAGACTCACTCATAGAAAGGTTAAGTAATTTCTCCAAAGCCGCATACTAAGAGGTGGAACCAGGACTTGAACCTAGGACTATCCTAACTCAAAACTTCATGTTTTTTTTTTTTTATTTGTTTTGTTTTGTTTTAGAGACAGAGTCTCAATCTGTTGCCCTGGGTAGAGTACCATGGCATTACAGATCACAGCAACTTCAAACCCTTGGGCTTAAGTGATTCTCTTGCCTCAACCTCCCAAGTAGCTGGGACTATAGGTGCTGACCAAGATGCCTGGCTATTTTTTTGTTGTAGTTGTCATTGTTGTTTAGCAGGCTGGGGCCGGGTTCAAACCCACCAGCCCTGGTGCACTGGTTGGTGCCCTAGCCACTGAGCTACAGATGCAGAGCCCTAAAACTTCATGTTTTTAAGCAGTATCTGATGCAGCCTCCCCTAGAACTTTATTTCCTGTGCACACTGAGCTCTTTCTCCTGAACTAATGATCTCTATCATTCCTTCACTTACTGATCAATTCATCTAAGAAATGTTCACTGAGAGCATGCCAGTTATTAAAGGATCATCTCTTGACTCTAATTCTACTTTTCTCTCTCTGCTTTGTGATACTGGGGCTGGAACTCTGCAAACACTATTTCTCCTTTTTTAGCAGGCTTCCTATTATGTTTGATTAATGAGGATTGCTAGAAGGAGACTAGACAGATTAAGAGGGGAAAAGGGGGTTTGCCTCTTCCTTTGTTTGCTCTTCCTATCACTGTTGCCCCAGCAACAGTCCTTCACACTGGCAGCAGCAGGTACTTTCTGAATCAGCCTCTTTATAGCCCTGAGGAGTACCAACACTAGTTGGTGACAGCTTTCTTTCAGAGCTCTCAGTCTCAGCTCTGTAAGGCCCTTCCTCCAAACTCCTCAGGTATTAATAGCAGCCACCCAACAACTCCTGCTTAGAAATCTGAATCTCAGCTCTGCAAGGCCTTCCTCCAAGCTTATAGCTTCTAATAATCCAAACCTTTCCTCTAATTGTTCCTCTAATTCTGGAGCTGATATGTCCTCCAGTTATTATCTCTTCGCTACCTTAGTGTTCCTTTCTTTCTTTCTTTCTCAGTCCTCTGACACCTTTTAAAAAACAAATTCCCTCTTTCTTTTTTTAGTGCTCCAAAAAATACAAAAGAGTTCATGAATTTGCATGTCATCCTTGTGCAGGGTCCATACTAATCTTCTCTGTATCATTCTAATTTCAGTATATGTGCTGCCGCAGCAAACACAACAAATTCTGTTTTTAAAATTGACTTTATTGAAATGCTTAGTATGGTTTCTGTTTACCTGACTATACCCTAATTGACATAGTACTTGGCATTATGAGTGGTCCCAGGAAACTATCCTCAAATATGAGATTCTCATATTGGTTTGGTAATGACCTTGGCCTTGAACTGTATTGAGTTTTTGCTAATGGGAAATAGGATACTAGTAAACATGTAGTGGCATCACAGTGAATTAAATTATCATTTGTGGTTGAATGTGATGAATTACCTACTGACATCTGCTGGCTGCTACACTTGACCTTCATGGCAGTTATGATAGTAATGGTAGCAATATGGAATGGTAGCAATGGAATGCCTACTGACCACAATGGAGAGCTTAAATAAAATAAATGACAAGCTTTGGGCTTTAAACTATTGACATCAGTCATAATCAGAGGAGCATCACAATCAAAGATAATCAAGCACATAAAGAAATAAGAAACCATGAGAAAGAAAACCAAAAAGCCAATGAATGATTACAGGGCCAAGACAAGCCAAAAAAAGGAAACCCAGCACAGTGAGTTCAGCACCAGCACCAGTTGCTTTTCCACAGACAGAAGCAATATTGATTCTAGGAGGTAGTTGGATCTCAATTTTACTATATATTCCTGACAGACCAAGAAGAGGAGCCAAGTTTAACAGAAACAAGAAACTTTGGTGGGGCCACACCTATGGTGCATCTTACAAGGGTACATGTGAATCTTTCTAAATGTAGAATATAAATGTCTTAACACAATAACTAAGAGGATACCATGAAGGCTATGTTAACCAGTTTGATGAAAGTATTTCAAATTGTATATAAAACCAGCACACTGTACCCCATGACTGCATTAATGTACACAGCTTTGATTTAATTAAAAAAAAAAAAAGAAAGAAACTAAATGAGCAAAAGTTGTAGTACAGTCCCCACACCAAGGAGAAAGGTGAATTTCTAGCTCAACTTTACTCCTATGTTGTAAACATTTGATGTCCCAGCCTAAAGTTCAGGAGATTCGATCTGTGGTTCCTTGATATGTTCAACCAGATATTCAGCCTAGTTTTTCTAGTTGTTCTCAAGTGAGGGTATTGGCTCAAATTTCTAGTGTACCATCAGTAGAAGTAGAACTCTTAACTTCTTATTTAATTAAATTAATTATCCATGTAACAGTTTTTTAAAAATGTGTTTGAATTTATCACATTTTTACTGTCTTTGTTCTTGAGTTTGATTCATAGTTAGGAGGGAATTATTCTCCATCTTCTTAAAATCATCCTTGCTCAACTGTCATTTCCCCACCCTTAGTACCCATTTAAAATTACATTCCCTTCTTCTCTGGCACTACCAATTTTACTTTTCCTGCTCTTTCCCCACCTTCCTATCATTTATCATGTTTATCATCTTTTTTTCTCCAGTAGAATGGGAGTTACATCAAGGTAGGGAGGGTTTTTTTTGTTATACATGTACTTAGTGCTGTATCCTCAGACTTAGAACAGTCTGGAATAGGGTAGAGACTCAGTAATTTTGTTGAATGAATGAATTGTTCAGATTAGGAACAAATTTGTATGGGTTAATGATGAGTTTAGTATAGAACTTGCTGTGCTTTAAGTGCATGTAAGACAGAGTTTGACCTGTTTTAGAAACAGTTGAATGTTTGGGTCTGGGACACAGGGAGATCTTGATTGGCCCCATTTACCCTGTAGTGTCACTTAGTACTCGAGGTGATTCTGAGCGCTTTGAGGTCTAGGACTTTGTAGTCATCTTTATGTCCTCTTCTCTAACCACAGTACTTGACCTTAGTTGTGGTTTAACCAAGTTCCATGAAAGTCAGGGACTGAATTTTTCTTGTGTAAAGTTATATCTGTAGTGAGTGACATAGCACTTGTCCTTGATCAATATTTATAGAATGAATGAATAGCCCCCAAAGGAGCAGTTGCCACTCACTAGGAATGAGGAGAGTACTTCTAACTCCTGGCCCTGTGTACAAAGAGCAGCCTCCATTAAGTAGATCCTAGAGAAAGGACTATCCCAAGGGGAGAAGCAGGGCTCAGTTAATATAAGCTACTACCCTGCAAGAAGCTAAATGGGCTATTGGTTAAAGGAGGGGGCTTGAGTCAGGGAGAGTTGGTTTTAAATCCTATATTTTTCCATTAACTATCTTGGGCAAAGTTTTAACTTCTCTTTGTTTTAGTTATCTCATCTGTGATTTGGGGATAATAATACTATACTTAAAAAGTCTAGTAACTTTTGTCAAAAAAAGAAATAAGGTTTATATGATTTAACTTAGTGAAGCCATTCTGGTACCTGTCTAACTGCTCTTAAGTCATTTGCTTAAAAATGTATTCTAGGAAGCTAGCAGAGATGAGACAGAAGAGATTATTTTATCTCCTATGCATTGTAAGACTTAGGATACAGCTTTTAAAGGGCTTTTAAATATATTCAGTGCTTAAATATACCCAACATTACTGGCTCCAAGTTATGTAAACAACATTGCAAAGTAAATGCTTTATTAAATGTGCCCAAATACAGATTATGGTAACTGGTCAACTGCAGCCAGATACACCTATTAGATAAGTACATATAAATTGCATTTACTGCAGGATGTAGGTGCATTTTGCTAAAGAAGGCAGTCAAAGACCCATTAGGATTTTAAGATGGCTGTGGAGGTACTTGTCTGGTTCACTGGGTTGTAATGTTCCTTTTTATTTGCCTGTGACCAGTCTTCTAATCTCTCCCTGCTATTTTCCACTCTCAATTACTCCAATTCTCTTTGACTATCTTTTGGTATCTAAGTATACATGTATTTTGTCAGTTCTAGTATGAGTTTTTTTTCACATTTCAACATCTCTGAAATTGTGATACATCTTACAAATCAGTGGAATACCATATTAGAGGCATTTTTATCTTAGTATTTCATAAAATAATGTTGAACTTACAATTGATTATGATTTAGAATCATAATCACTTCTTGGAACTGGATAGGTTTCATTTATCTTTGGCATTGAGTTCTTCTTAATAACATTTGCTTAATCTTTCTAGTTTGAAAGTCATCTTGTAACTCTTTTTCCCTTTTCTGCTTCTACCTTCCGTTCTGCCTCTTTTCATCTCCTTCATCCTCCTTATGTCTCTTCTTGAAGTCTGCACATGTTGCCAGGGCACCCACTAATCAGAGCTCTTTTTTAAAGGCCCTACGACTTGATGGTGGTACCACCCAACAAGGTGAATCCTGAGCACTATATCTTCTCTCCCTTTGGAATCTTGCATATACATCCTGAGGAAGGTAGTGAGATCATGACGATGGGTACCTGGCACCGCCACTCTGTTCTCTGGAAGCAGCTCCAGTTGATTCCATTCTTTAAATATTGCCTCTTACGCAAATCCTTGACCTGGTAGGTGATGATGAGTGTGGGATTTGAGGGAAATGGAAGAGAGCAACTGCATATTGTCACGATTTCTAATCTGTAGTTGGAAGAAGAATGTGAGGTTGCGTGAATTGCATCAGATCCGGATTTTCCTAGGAAATCATCTGCTCTATGCTGTGCCCCACTTTGGAGCTGGGCTACTCCATATTAGTAGGTGAGGCCTTCCTTAAAAACACAATTTTGGTGGACTTTGAAAAATTAGCTTTATAAAATGTAGTAACATGTTCATTTTAGAAAATTCAGAAAATACAAAAATGCACAAAAGAAAAAACACTCTATTCCAACCACCTGTAAGTCACCAATATGAACATTGTATTGCTTATTGATTTACTTATTCATTTATTTTTTGAAACAGAGTGTCACTCTGTCACCTAGGCTAGAGTGCCCTGGCATCAGCCCAGCTCACAGCAACCTCAGACTTCTAGGTTCAAACGATTCTTCTGCCTCAGTCTCCCAAGTAGCTGCAAGCACCTGCTACAATGCCCAGCTAATTTTTCTATGTTTGGTAGAGTGGGGTCTTGCTCTTGCTCAGGCTAGTCTCAAACTCCTGGGCTCAAGCAATCCTTCTGCCTTAGCCTCCTGAGTCGCTGGGACTGTAGTCCCCTGCCACAACACCTGGCTAATTTTTTTTTGTAGAGACAGAGTCTCACTCAGGCTAGTCTCAAACTCCTGGGCTCAAGCAATCCTTCTGCCTTAGCCTCCTGAGTCGCTGGGACTGTAGTCACCTGCCACAACACCTGGCTAATTTTTTTTTGTAGAGACAGAGTCTCACTTTGTTGCCCTTGGTAGAGTGCCATGGCATCACACAGCTCACAGCAACTGCTAATTCCTGGGTTTAGATGATTCTCTTGCCTTAGCCTCCCAAATAGCTGGGACCATAGGCACCTGCCACAACACCCAGCTATTTTTTTTGCTGCAGTTTGGCTGGGGCCGGGTTTGAATCTGCCATGCTTGGTGTATGGGGCCAGCACCCTACCCCCTGAGCCACAGGGGCCAGCCATGGCTAATTTTTTTATTACAGATAGGATCTTGCTCTTGGCTGAGGCTGGTCTTGAACTCCTGAATTCAAGGGATCCTCCTGCCTCAGCCTCCCAAAGTGCTAGGATTACAGGCATGAGCCACCATGCCCAGTCCCTTCTAGTCTTTTTTAAAATCACATGCAAAATGTGTTATACCTAACATACAGTTAAATAACCAGTGTTTTTTCCCCTCTGAATCACATATTTTGAGCATATCTCCATACATGATTATGATCATTCTGTGGAGTTCTTTGTGGGGGTAAGGGAGATTGTATAACAGAGGTGGGCTTCCTCAGGGGTGGTCAGCCCAGAGAGAAGTTACAGTTTAAAACCTTTAGCTTACCTGTTTCAAAGAAGAGCCTCTGCAGTCTCTCCTTCTAAGTCAGACTTTGGGACCTATTTGACCTTCTGTCCTGGCAGAGAGGTTACTAGATATAAACACTTATACATATCCTGAGCCTTTCTCAAAGATTCCCCAGCCAGCAACTTTCTGTGCTTGTACTCTTCTGAAGACCCCTCAAGAGGGAGCTGTCATTGTTGGGCACTGTT